TTAACATCCAAAAGACATGAGAAACTCCTACAACTCAATAGCAAAAAAACAAATAGTAAGATTAATACATCAGCAAAGGACTTGAATAGACATTTCTCCAAAGACATACAAACAGCCAATAGGTACATAAAAAGGCATTCGAGCTCACTAATCATCAGGGAAATGCAAATCAAAAACAATGAGACATCACCTCATACCCATTACAATGGCTAGTATCGAAAGGATAAAAGATAAAAAGGTTGGTGAAGATGTAAGATATTCACAGCCTTGTACACTGTTCATGGGATTGTAAAATGGTATAGCTGCTACGAGCAACAGTATGCGGTTCCTCAAAAAATTAAAAATAGGACTATTATATGATCCAACAACTCTACTTCTGGGTATCTATCCAAAAGAATTGAAATCAGGATCTTGAAGAGATATCAGTACCTTCATGTTCACTGCATCATTATTCATAATAGCCAAGATGTAGATATCACCTAAATGCTAACCAACAGATAAATGGATAAAGAAAATGTGGTATACATGTACAACAGAATGTTATTCGGCCTTAAAAGAGGCATATACAACATGGATATATCCCTCCATATACAACATGGATAATCCTCAAAGATATTACGCAAAGTAAAGTAAGCCAGTCACAGAAGGACAGATACTGCATAATTCCACTTACATGAGGAACTTAAAAGCGTCAAACTCATAGAAGCAAAAAGTAGAATGGTGATTGCCAGGGGCTGGGGGAAGGGGGAAATGGGGAGTTGATATTAAAAAATCATAAAATTTTAGGGCACCTGGGTGCCTCAGTCAGTTAAGTGTCCAACTCTTGAGTTTGGCTCAAGTCATGATCTCAGGGTTGTGAGATTGAGCACCACATCAGACTCCATGCTGGAAGATTCTCTCTCTCTTTCTCCCTCTGGCCACCCCCTCTCCCTCTCTAAAAAACAAACAAACAAACAAAAACACATAGTTTCAGTAATGCAAGATGAATAAAGTTCAAGGGATCTGTTGTATGATTTGCATCTAAAGTTAAAAATACCGTGTTATACACTGAAAAATTTAAGAAAAAATTTCATGTTGTATTCTCACCACAATAAAAAATATGAATCAACGAATTTTTTTTTAAATAATGGTGTAGCTTATAAAAGACGGTGACTTAGATTCAATGACACACCATTAAGTACTCTGAGCCAAGAAGTATGCTAACTGCCTTCCATATGTCAACTCATTCAGTACTCACAGATATTAAGGTAGATATTCTTGCTTTACAAATAACCCTTGCCAAGGTCACAGCCAGTGAGTGAAAGAGTCTGCACAAGAACCCAGGTATATACTCTGCTGCCTTCCTAGCTAGACAAATTTCCATGATGCCAGAACATTAGTCAGAGTTTGCACAGCCCGCTCCTGCCACACTCTTTCCCACTCCCCACTCATTCCTCCCCACCCAGTGATGAGAACAAGATGCTGGAGTTTATCCCTGAGGCTAATGATCAAATTGCCTGTCTGGTCTTGGGAGAGCCCTACCCTGACCATAACTATCTTCCCTCTGCCTTTCAATTACTACCCTCCAAGAACTATAAACCTAAAATGTAGGCCAGGTCTCTAAATTTTCTGCAACAGCCTAAGGCACCAGTCTTTTTTATTTTGACCAAACAATTGCAAAATTCTTTGCACCACCTTTCTTCTGACTTGGTCACCCAACTCTGCCATGTGTTTCTGTTGTCAACCTCATAGCAACAGCCCCAGGAGAAACAAGGGTGAACCAATCATACAAAGTCCCAGGGACGGAAGGAACTGGAGATGTGCTCTATTATCCTCAGGTTATGGGGGCTGATGATGGTTAGTCCTTAAATGTCAGAAGAATATAACATAACAAACTGGGAATCCAAGTTTAAAAGCTGCACTGGATGTCAACTAGAAACCTGAATTTATCTTTAGTCATGTGAAATTATCTTCAGTTGATGCAAGATGTGCAAAGGAGGCAATATGCAAGGGGAAGGGAAAAAGACCTTAATTTTATAATTTTAGCTTTACCCACCCACTGCACTCTTAACATAATCAAATCAATGAAATGTGATCCTATTCCAGCTTCCACATCACCAATTTTAAAAAGGAGTGAGGTGGAAAATCCCAAAGAGATCAAATTTCTTTTCTGAAGTGACAGTCAGGCAGCTTTCAGGATTTTAGCTTAAACGAGAATCCAGGTTTCCAAATGTCTAGACATGAGAGTAACACTTAACAATGACAAACCAACTCGCTGAGTAACACACTGACCAAAAATAAAGTCAATACAACATATGATACTAATACTACTTTAGGAAAATAAAAATGAAACAATGAATTATCTATTTTAGACTTCAGTTTTTTCAAATACCACAACTGTCTATAGACATAAAACCATACTTAATTATGTACAAAAGCTAATTCCTAAATATCACACACAGAGATTTTCATGTGCCACCAATATTAAGTTAAAAATTAACTCATATTGGGGCAACTGGGTGGCTCAGTCAGTTAAGCATCTGACTCTTGGTCTTGGCTCAGGTTGTGTTCTCAGGGTCATGTGATCGAGCCTTGTGTCTGACTCCACGCTCAGTATGGAGTCTGCTTATCCCTCTCCCTCTGCTCCTCCCCATCACATTTGCTCACACACACACTATCTCTCAATTAATAAAGAAATAAAATCTTTTTAAAAACTAACTCATATTATATTATGCTCATCTCTTCAAAACTGAAAGAATGAAAATCAATTTTTTGCCAATTACAATTAGTATAGTTAAAGTTTAACATTAATTCGTGTTTGGACTTCACCTAATAGGCCAGTGGTCCACAATTTTTCCACTGATGCAAGGAAACAGACAGAAGCAACAAATATGAAATATGAAATATTATGATATTGAAATATGAAATGGTACCAAGAGGTCAAGTCTGAGCAAAGAACAGGATAGTGCTGGCAACAAAAGAGAGAGAGAACACAGGAGAAATTTCGTGGCAAAGGGTGGGAATAATGAATAAGGTATTTCGTTGAGCCTGCTGAATCTGATATGCACAGATGACACCCAGAGGGATATGTCAAACAGAAAGTCAGAAAAAACTCATGTGGCCCTCCAGAGAAAAGTCCAGAGGAGATAGACATGGAAGCAAATACCGTAAGAAATAACTGCTAAAATCATGAGAACAGTAAAACACCAAATCACCAAGAGAAAGCATACAGTGAAACTAAGAAAAGCCACAAGAGGCCCAACCCTGGGGTTGGTAGCAACAGGAAGAGTCTGAGAAGAGGGCCAGGATGGAGCAGGTCAGAAGAACAGGACAAACCAAGAGAGTTTTAGGATCTATGCTACAATAAAAAGGAGAGAGACACCTGTATCAGAGATCTAAGAGTCAAGAGTAAGCAGGAAAAAAGGGCTGGGTTGGATTGGGTGGTTTGTTAGCAGAGTCATACAGAAGGCAAAGTGTCAAGAAACTGAAGAAAGGAAGGAAAGGCAGCCATGTCCATTCTCCTGATAAAGCCTGATGACATGAAGGAGAAAGTCCTAGGCTGTAACTTGAGAGACAACACAGCAAAGGGGATGAACCACTTTGTCAACCACTCATATCACTACATTGAGAGAAAAGGCTTCAAGTACACCTGGCACAAGCACAGAAAACCTGGATCTAGATAACCATGCTGCCCATTAACTGCCCCCAACACACACACACACACACACACACACACACACACATAATTTCTAAATGATAATGACTTTTTTTTAGTAGTAATGTGATTTTTTTATTTTTTATTATTTTTTATTATGTTCCATTAGCCATCATAAGTTTTTGTTGTAGTGTTCAATGATTCATTAGTTACGTATAACACCCAGTGCTTATCCCAACACATACCTTCCTTAATACCCATCACCTGTTTACCCCATCCCCTCACCCACCCTCCTTTCTATAACCCTCAGTTTATTTCCCGGAGTCCAGAGTCTCTCATGGTTTGTCCCCTTCTCTTTCCCTGTGGTCCTCTGCTCTATTCCTTATGATCTATATACAAGTTAAACCATATGATAACTGTCTTTCTCTGCTGGACTTATTTTACTTAGCATAATCCCCTCCAGTTCCATCCACATCAATGCAAATGGCAGCAATGTCCACAACAGCCGAACTGTGGAAGGAGCTGAGGTGCCCTTCATCAGATGAATGGATAAAGAAGATGTGGTACGTATCTACAATGGAATATTACTCAGCCATCAAAAAGGATGAATGATAACAACTTCTAACACAGATACAAAAAGAGTGTAGCTAGAGGAGTAGATGTCATAAAATACAAATTAATTTACACTAATTAAAAGTGTAGCTAGAGGAGTAGATGTCATAAAATACACAATTTGAAGAGCCTGGGTGGCTCAGTTGGTTAAGCATCTGACTTCGGCTCAGGTCATGATCTCGGGGTCCTGGGATCAAGCCTCTCTGTGCAGTTCAGTCTGCTTCTCCTTCTCCCTCTGCCCCTCCCCTGCTTATGGAACTCTCTCTCTCTCAAATAAATAAAATGTTTAAACATAAATGTATATATATATACATATAAATACATATATATGTACATATATACACACACACACATATACACACATACATTTTGAAATACATCTTATATTTTCTGCCCCGACATTTTATTCAAGAGATTGCCTAATTTTTGAAATACCTTGTTGCTTTTATGTCTTTTGTGATCTAAATTTGGCACTATCCTGAATCTCTAGAGAAAAAAAAAACATTAAAAATGTAACTGTTATAGTTAATTCCAGAGCTGTAATGAAATGTTAGCAAAACATTTACATTGGGATACTTATATTGTGAAACAATCCTTAAAAGCTCCCACATATCAAAGATCTTTCAGGCATAAATGCTCTAGTCTATGCAGTGCCTTAGCACATGCTTTATGTTTACACAAAAATATTCTTTTCAGTCATTAAATGACCTACAATGTAGCAGTTATGAAAAATGGTCATGAAAGCAGCAAATACCTGAGGTACTCACAGCTGTAGAGTAGGGATTATGAGCTCCAGTATTTTCAGCCCAGCAGCCACATCCATAAAGAGCAGCCTAGGAAAAGAGAAAATAGGTACACAATGTATTTCAGAAATATTATGTGTAATTACTTGCTTTCAACAAAAGACAAAATCATACCCATCTAATAAAGCCTGGTTTAATAATGATGCATAGCAACTGGGAAATAATACCAGAGACTGTATAAGACCTACCCAAACAATGGTTCTAACACTATTTTAAACTGTATCTTCAATTACTGTATTAATCTAAAATTTTTCAGAAAAGGGCAGAAGAAAGTTTTTAGACTCTCATCAGCAGTAGTTTTTTTCCTTGAACAACCTTTCCCCAATTATAGTTTGTCAGCCAGTTCAGACAAATTCCTCTCTTCTGGCTCCTTGAAATCATGTGGTTGCCTTAAAATAGTGGCTCTCAAACTAGGTATATGTCAAATTGCTTGAGAAGTTTGGTGATAGGACCATGGTTCCCAGATATTCTGATTCAGTGGTCTGGGGGTTGCCCATGGAATTGGCATTATTAACCAGGGCCCCAGGAGGGCTGGGATGCAGGTGGTCCTCCTGGCATACTCTAAAAAACCCCATTTAGGAGGGCTTCTGCCATGCCTCCCTTAAAGTGGCACAGAAGGAACTACAGTTACTACCAAAGGGCCTAGTATATGTTCACCACCGTGCTAGATTCTCCAGATACAGAGAAAGGAGACAAAAAAGATCAATTCAAGTTAATTACTTTATGAGGCAGTAGAACAGATTTATATGCCTGAAACCACCAATAACACAAATTACTGTGGTTTTATAAAAGAATATAACAATCATCCTTATTTTGTTTTTAATAATGCCACCCAGAATGTCTGGATTCATCTCTTCAATATCCACAATGACTTCTCTGCCTTTGGGAGGGGAAATGAAACTGGCAACTTTTCCAGTCCTTAGTTAGAAGCAGAAGTAGAAAACCCCTTTGATAGCCAGCATCGAGAATATAAGGAAGTCTGCTCAAGAATATGCACCACCTCAAGTTTGGTAAAGAATGGAAAATTGAAAGCACAGATGTCCATCAGTAAAGAAATGGTTAAACATTTGCCCAGCAATATGCAGTATTCATTGCAGAAAGTTCCAAATAAACAATTCAACTTTTTTCAAAAAGATTTTTAGAAACTAATAAAAAAAACTCCAAAAGTATTATTGAATGAAAAACAGGACGACGACGACAAGCCACAATACATGGAGTTTTCAGTATGACTTCTGACTAATGAAGGAAAAAATACTCCCACAAAATAGTAACTATTCTTTTCAAAGAGATCACTTGTAAGGAGTGGGGAAAGAAGCTAAGATGGGAATGGTAACCAGACAGACCAGCTTTCTACAATATTCCTTTTTTTTTCTAATAAGGACTTTAGAACTCATTTGCTTCAATATTCTATCCAGAGCAGGAATTTCCCAGGCACTTCTCATACCAAGAACCTTGATACTTCATGAGGGAACACATTCCCCTTTTGGACACTTATCTTTGGCTAAAAGTTCTTCCTTAGATTGCTTTAATGAACATCCGCTTCATCGTAACTTCCATCCACTAATCCTGGTTCTACTCTCTGGAATTACTTTACCCTCCCTTCTGAAGTCCTCTAAATTTTTTAAAACAGCTATCTGAGTGCCCTGATTACTCTTTTCTCACTCAAGAGAATCCTAGATTTGTGAACTGTTCCTCAAGACTTTGAGATGCACACACACACACTCTATGCCCTTAGTCACTCTCCTTGAGAAATAATCCAATGTCCAAGATAATTGGAGATGAAGTCTCCCATGCTCATGTGACCCACAGTTGCCACCCTCAGTTGTCACCAGTAATAGCCTTATAAGTAGAACAAAGAACTCAATACAACATTGCCAATATGGCAAAGAGTAGAAAATCTATTATTGCCTTTGAAAACACCATGCTTCTAAAATACACAAGATTGTTGGGTCAGAGTGGGAACTGAAAGCCCTATAGAAGGGATTCCGCACATGGATTTCAGAACCAAACTGGCAAATTTGGGGGATAAGCCATTCAACTGGTATTACCTGGGACAGTTCCTAGGTGAACCAAAGCCTCAGAGAATAAGCCACCTGAGGGGAAGGGCCTACTCTTCCTTCACTGAAAACCCTGGTCATTGCCTTCACTGAAAACCCACTATCCTTGCCATTCGCCACAATTATCTTGACCAGGAGCCTGGACCCAAAAATAGCAAATAAGGCCACAAGGACACCTCTTAGGAACCTACAGGGGTCCTTTTTTTAAGAAAAAAAAAAAAAAAAAAAAAAAAAAGAAGACTAACTCTCTTTGTTTCTTCTCTCTAAGCGAATTCCCCTTATGCCACTTCCCCTCAATTTCATGATCTAAAGTTGTCTTCCATCTTAAACTTCTGAAACCAGTTGAGCTGAGACAGTGATAGGTCAGATAAAAGAAAGAACCAGAGACTGTCCCTCTCTTATCATTTCTTTGGATAAAATATTACAAGCTTGGGGCACTTAGGTGGCACAGGTGGCTAAGTATCCAACTCTTGATTTGGGCTCTGGTCATGATCTCAGGATTGTGACTAAGTCCCACGTCAGGCTCCATGCTCAGCCAAGAGTCTGCTTCTCTCTCTCCTTCTGCACCACCCCCACCAGCTCTCTCTAAAATAAACAAATAAATCTTAAAAAAAATAATAACAACCTTAAGCAGGGCTTTAAAAAATAAAAATAAGCTTTTTTCTTTTTAGTAGTAAAACTTCCTCAACATTTAACAAAGGTATTAACATTCTGTAAAAATAGATCATATAAATATCATTATTATTATTATTTAATCTTTTTTGGAACTTCTTTTCCTTTATAAAATGAGCATAACAAAAACCCTCACCTCATAATGTTGCTGTAGGATCACATGAATGAACATACTTACTGTACATAGCAAGAGACAGTTCTAGCTAATATATAGCTATATCATGAGGGACTATGGCAAGCAATTTAAATATGTCATTTAATATTCTAGAACTTTGTAAGGTAACTATACCCATTTTACAGTTGTGGAAAGTGGAGCTTAAAGATGTTGAACAGGGGCAACTGGGTGGCTCAGTGGGTTAAAGCCTCTGCCTTTGGTTCTGGTCATGATCCCAGGGTCCTGGGATCAAACCCCACATTGGGCTCTCTGCTCAGCAGGGAGCCTGTTTACCCGCCTTCTCTCTGCCTGCCTCTCTGCCTACTTGTGATCTCTGTCAAATAAATAAATAAAATCTTAAAAAAAAAAAAAAAGGACGTTGAACAATTTGTTTACAATAAGGGAGAGGTGAGATTAGAATAAAGGTTTATTTGAATCCAAAATTCACACTCTTAACCACTAAACTCAACTGCATATTTGTGTGGGGCTGAGTTGAGAGTGGAGGGAGAGTGGGATGTAATCATTCCTTTCTTCTTTCCCAGTTGTAAATTCTAACTATTGTTGGTAAACCAAGTAAATAAATTCTAATTTAAATTGCCACTTCACCATATGAACAGTTATTATATGTCTAGAGCAAGGTAATTAATATGCTAAGACTTTGAAACAGTTCACTGTACACTTAAAATGTATTTAAAAGCATCTATTTTTAGCATATTTTTAAAAGTCTTTTTTTTTCAATACTTTGTATATTTTATTTCCTTCCCTCTTGATTGTCAAGAAGAATGGTTTCCTACTGTCAACTGACGCTTTCATATTTCCAGGCTTATTACAGCTCCTCTATCCAAGCAATATAATCCAATTAAACAAATGCATTTTCCTGGTAAGTACCTTTACCCTTACCCACCACACCCTTTCCTGATTTTCACCTCTCACAAACTGTGTTTTCATACACTAGCTAATTGGGGCAAATCAATATGTTTGAGTTTTACAGAAGTATTTCTATTTCCAGGACAGTCCCACGTGTAGTGACAGAATGGCTTCAAGACTGTTCAATGTAATATCCTCCTAACATAGACCAGAACTATCCTTGGTTCTGCTATTGCTCTTTTGCTAACCAAAACAAACAAAAAACAGTGAGAAAGGCATGGGAATTGCAAGGCAACGAAGGCGGCTATGCTGGCTTTTCTCTCTCTTTCTCCACCCAGGCATCCAAATCTGATATGCCAAGCTTGGTTCTTATTCCAAACTTGACAAATACACAGGGCTTCGTAATGTGGAAAAACACCATGACCAGACAAAGGCTTTTTATAATGAGTTCAAAGCATTGTACACATGTTAAGTAATCATTCCCCATAAATCCCCCTGTACAGTAGGCAAAGAGTAGCACAAAATTAATTATTCTTTCCTACCCCAACCCCCCATGGGATTTTAAGAGGCTTATACACATAAAGGGCAGATCAGGGAATATCACTTGGAGATTTGCAAAGATGTCCTCCATGAATCAGATCACTCTATTCCAAGCATTCAGTAACCACCATGTCCAAAACAACCGTGATACCTACTCTTTTTCAAATGTGAGAGACAAGACATACATAGAGAGAATGCCAAGCAGTGCTCTACATGTAACACGAGATCTAAGTACTGAGCTTAAGCACAATGCTTGCAACTACTTTAACAGACTTCAGGAATCATTAGTTCACTCAACAAATATTTATTAAGCCCATAAGTAATGTACCAAATTGGTTTATGCTCAGAAAGCTTACTAGATCAAATGGATTGTGAAATAGCATTCTCAGTACAGAACTAAAGTTTGGAGATGGGGGGAGGAGGAATGGTGAAGATGTGCAACTTAACTGGGAATATGCCAATTACACATAAATCAGAAAGATTTCTTGAGTGGTATCATCATATGCTGGTGACCTGAAATACTGGTTAGTCTATAAAACACCTAAAGTGCTTTATCAGAAGAGGGATTTAGAGCATTAAAATTTTACTATTCCTTGAATGGAAGAAATACACAATGTCACTCTAAAATCATTTCCCAGCTAAAAGCAAGCAACAATATAGTTAGGTAGTGTTTACTCCTATAGAGAATGACATTTGCAAAGAAAGAAAATGAAGATCAACTCATATATTTTTTTTAATGTCTACTAAATACCCAATACTCAGCCTGTTGGAAATAACAAAACATAGTACTACTGACTTTAAAGATCAAAAAGAACTCTATGAGAGAGGTTTTTTTAAGAATCTGGAATTATATAAATGTTTTTAAAAAAATCACAATAATATAATTTTTTTTCAAAGGAAAAAACGTTTTGCTGGCTTAAAAAAATGGTTAGCTAGAAAATTCCGTGTTTTAAATTGAAAAGCTAATTTAAAAACCCTGTAATACTTACCTGTCCAACTCTACCTGGATGTTTCAAGGCCAAGCCTCCACTGGAGACAGCAGCAGCAACGTTCCCTTCATGGTCCACCACTACAGCGCCCACTGTGTCCAAAGTGCCTGAGTCATTCTCCTGGAGAGTGAACAGGATATGAGCACTCACTGAACACAGAGTGTCACAATTTGATATGACCACACAGCACTTTTCCATACAATCATGACATAATTCAGTAAACTCTTAATCTATTCATCTATTATCGAGTTATTAATATTAACCTATTAATATTAATCTATTAATATTAGTACCAATCTATTATCAAATTGCCACTAAAACCCTGTTCAAGTCAAAATGTATTTTCTTTTTTTTTTTTTTTTTTTTTTTTTAAAATTTTTTTTTTTTTTTTTTTAAAAGGAGTAATAAAAAATGGCAAGAGGCAGGCAGAGTGAGAGGAGGAAGCAGGCTCCCCGCTGAGCAGAGAGCCCGATGCGGGGCTCGATCCCAGGACCCTGAGATCATGACCTGAGCCGAAGGCAGAGGCTCAACCCACTGAGCCACCCAGGCGCCCCCAAAATGTATTTTCTACTGAAAGATCCTGAGCAAAAAGTGTCTTGTTGCTTTTCTCTAATAATAAGCCTAGCATTCCTAAGGGAGAAAGAAAAAACACAATCTAATATAAAATAGCATATCGCAGTGTCCCCTTAATCTCAGGTATTAAGTTCATGATTGAAAATTTGTAAGAGGAGAAGATCTATGGCATAAATGAACCAGTAAGTACCATTTTTAGTACTTCTAAAAATATTGTATATAAATTTCTAAAAATAATATATTTAATACAATAAATAAAGAGAATGGTGGTCACAATTTGAAGTATACGATGTTACAATTTTCTTTTATAATTCCTTGCTTGTGAGAAATTGATGGCCACCTCCTTCCTCTGCTGTATTAATAATATGCTTGCCAACTATATAGCAGAAAATTGTACATTCCTGGGAGGTATCTTTGCATTTCTGTATCTTGTCCCAAGTCCCACAAGCTTAAGGCTTTTCACATATATTGACTACAAGGAGCTGTCTCCTACCTCAAAGATTTCTGGGTCACCTGTGCAAGACAGACAAACCTTACAATTCTGGATAAAAATCAGAATCACAGAAAACAGGGAAAAACTTTAAAAAAAAATATCTTTGTGTATATTAACAAGGGAGGCTACTGCAGGTCTTTAGGTTAACAACAGTCATTGCAATGTTCTCACTCTAGAGTTCTGGTTTTTAAACTAAGCCCCACAACCCAAGACTCCCACCTTCACCCCCATCCCCAAAAATGCATAAAAGAGCCCAGGCACAACTCCAGGCTCAACAAGACCAGCTCCTCCTCCTGCGTAGTTTATTGCCCATACTGCTGAGCAATACTTCATTTGTACAGAGGGATCCCTGGCTAACAAGTTTTCAAATGACACTCTCAGGCAATCCCCAGAAAAGTCAATGAGTTCCTAGGGCCACCTTAGAAGGTGAGCAACATTGAAGGGAGTTCTGAAATAGTGGAGACACAATGCAAGCAAAAGTTTTTTACTTCAAGCAAATTTAAAAATCCAGAAGTAGAGTATGCCTCAACAAATATTACATGAAGTCTGTTAGGAGAAGGTACATCTAGACATTTACATTTCTTTGGTTTTTGCTCTAGATTCTAACTCCTCTTAAATATACTGATACACTAGGACACTACTTACTTTAATAGAAAACATGTAGCTGACTGAAATAAGTGCTTTATTCCCTCTCTCCCTTTTAACCACAGCCAGGGGAAGTCTAGGCCATATCCAGGAATACCACAGTTGCGCAGGTGGCAGACTGCCTGAGTTTCAAAGATAGCTCCCTAACCTGACTGTAAACTCTCTGAGGAAAGGGCTGACTGACTGATTTTACATACAGCAGATATGAAGGGATACTTAGTCTTCAGTTAGGAGGATATAAAGCATGTCTGCATCTAGGGTGTCACAGAAACAAGAAAAACAAGTGATGATGCATGCAAGGCTATTCTAATATCAAGGCCTCAGTTTTCCATCTCTTTTCTCAACACTCAGTTTCATGCAAATCCAGAGGATGCCACTACCTTAGGGAAGACTTAACAATAACTAGGTTTCCTCATTTGCTATGGAAGAAGTAAAGTTTATTTTCTTTGGTAGGTAAGATAAAAGTATAAAAGTAAAGAATTGCATTAGGCATTTTATTCCAGAAAAAAAAAAAAAGAATAACCCTAAAGAAAAATGTACTTTAAAGGGGAAACATTTCCTTCATTATTCTAGGAAATAATTCCTTTATCTTTTTACCCTTGCAACCTCAAATAGAGATTGTCTGTTCCTTTCCAGATGCCAAGTCTTATGTCTTCGACAGGAGGCCTTCTCAAAGTTTAATGTACACACAAATCATCTGAGAATCTGTTAAATGCAGATTCTGATTAAGTAATCTGGCACTGGTCAAGACTCTCCACTTAACAACCTCTCCAGCAATGCTGATATTGCTGGTCCTCAGACCCTACCTTAAGAAACAAGGTAAAATAGCATCCTATGGGATTCATTATCAGCCAAACATCTGCTCTACTCATTTTAAGGCAAATAAGTTTATGGGCACAAATCTGCTGAAGGAGAAACTTCAGCATTAGCATTATGTCAACATAAAAGATTTAAGTTCTATCTGGTTTAACTATCAATTGGCAGCGTATCACCAGATCGTACCACAATGAACATACTGTAAAGTACCTTAAAGTACTGATCTCATACTGGTTCTTTTAGAAACAGAGAACTCTCATACAAATAAACAGAAACTATAAAATACTTTCCTTAACAACAATAAAGTCAAGAAAGGGTATTCTTCATTAGTTCTTTATTAACTGTGACTGCTGATCCCAAGCATTTTGTAAAACGGAATTTTAGCTGAGGGGATAGATAATGTATACACAATGATATACATTACTTATGAAACAATTTTCTTAGCATTTCATTATCATAAACTATAAGGACTCTTATCTAATCAAACTACTAGAGAAAGATACAAAAATATTACATGTAGATGGATTTACTGTAACTTGGTTTTTAAGAATGAAAAATCAAGCAAAAACTACAGAATGCTGTTCCAAATTAAGCTAAATATTCCTAGAGGCTTGCAACACCTGCAAAAATCAGAATTACTTCATAAATATTCAAGAATTAGTTCATAGATTTCATATACTGAAAGGCAAATTTAAGGATGATGAAGTAAGATTTAAGCATTTTTATGAAGTGTAGATAAATTGAGTGAAAGACAAACACTGGTATTTTAGCCATAATAATTTCACAGAACTCATTTGTACAGAAATGAAATCTTAGAAAGGTTAAAAAACACACAATGACTGTTAGTATATAGAGCTACTATTATGCTCTTACACTCCATAAATACTTAAAAGTACATGCTCCACATAGGTACACATGTACCTATTGTCCTCAACTGAAACATGCTATTTCCAATACTTATTTGATAAAATAGTGACTAAAAAGCAACTGTATAAATCATATAGTTCCCCTTATAATAAACACATGTAATATTAAGTTGGCATAGAGATCGCATGTGTTATGAAAAACACGGAAATAAAACTTTCTTCAACTCACCAATAAACTAGTAATCATGTTGAGCTTAATGTCAAAAGTTTTAATTTTTCTCTGCCCTAATCTGGAGATGGCTATTACACAATCACTGTAAAATTAAATTAAGTAACACATAACTACATCAAAAATAACAAATCACTTAAAACAAAGTGTAGGTACTTCGCACCATAAAATTATGTTTCTAATCTGTGTTCTAACTCTGAAATCTGCCCAGAGACATCATCTATCAGTTACCTATCTCATTAACCTGGCCTTTCTTCTATACAGAATTACTCAAGTATCAGATAGCTAAAATGCAAGAATAATATCTCAAACATATAAGTGCATCCTGAAACTGGTTTTCAGTGGAAATAACCCAATACAATAATAAAAACAAATACATTTTTTTAAAAGATCCCAAATCTTCAACATACACCTTTGTTAGGATTATGAGCAAGATTATAACTGGCATGAGTTTCCACTTGAGAAAAGCAGATGACTTACGCCCTCCATGACAGTACATTAATGGCAGCATAGAGCTTTACGTCTTTGAATATTCTAACCATGGAATTAGTTCCAGCTATCAGTGACCTAGACTGGCTCCAGGTCTATCTCCCAAAAACCAGACCCACAGTGGGGCCACTAGAGGATTAAGAATATTAGGAATGGGTAAACAAAGCATGATTTAGTTAGAATTATCTACTCTTGTGTATCTGGCTTGGCTGAAACCAAGGAAAATTTGGAAATAAGAATACCCAATGACCTTTTCCCTCTCTCCAAAGAAAATCACCCTTCTGGGGAAGAAAAACTGAATGGGAAGAAATTAGAGAGGGAGACAAACCATGACAGACTCTTGATTCCAGGAAACAAACTGAGGGTTGTGGAAAGGAAGGTGGGTGGGGGGATGGGGTAACTGTGTGATGGGTATTAAGGAGGGCACAGGATGTGATGAGCACCAGGTGTTATACACAACTAATGAATCACTGAACATTATATCCAAAACTAATAATGTATTATATGTTCACTAATTGAATTTAAATTTAAAAAAGAAAATCACCCTTCTGATGCCCAGTACTATAAATGATGTTTCTGTTAATTATAGTCAAGATGTCTATTCTTAAATAATCCCTTATTTTCTTTGCTTAATAAGTATGCATTAAATATCTTTGCAACACTACACAAATTAGAGTCAAACATATCTACTACAGAGAAAAAAATTGTTAAAAAATTGTTATTTATTCCTTAAATCACTCTACAAAAGTTACCAGAAACATTTTTAGCTCAAAATAAAAATAAAGTGGGTTAACCATGCTTTTAAGGGGCTTTAATATATCTTCACTACACAACTTTAGTTAAAGTTCATACCATAACAAAGCTCCAGAGGATTACCTAAAAATTCTAAACCCTTAAATACAGCAGAAGACAATGTTTTCCAAATGGCAAAACACCTAGACAGTCTTCTGAGGCTTGCAACATTCGAGGTAGAAAAAGCCATGGTTTTAATCTTGGTTTTTAAAATAAT